TTTTTGGTTTTTAGATTTGAAGTTACCATGAAGCTTGAAAAACACATCTTATAACCAATTATTTTAAGTAGATGACAACTTAACTCTGCTTACAAAAAAAATAAACATATAAAGAGAAAGCTAAAAGAAACTCTACACTTTAACCTCATGCCCCTGTTGTTTAATTTTTTATTGTTTCCATTTATATCTTTTTATACTATTTACCTCTTAAAAAGTTGTAGTTAATATTTTTGATAGGTTTAGCTTTTAGTCTTCTTACTCAAGATATAAGTAGTTAATACACTGCAATTATAATGATAGAGTATTCTTTCTTTGTGTACTGATTGTTACCAGTATTATACCTTCAGATGATTTATTATTCTTTTTCTTTCAGATTGAAGAACTCCTTTTAGCATTTCTTGTAGGACAGATCTGTCATTGACTAAATCCCTCAAATTTTGTTTTTCTGAGAAAGTTATTTCTCCTTCATCTTTGAAGGACATTTTTGCAGGGTATAATATTCTAGGATTAAGGAGTTTTTCCTTAAGTACTTAAGTTGTGCCATTTTCTCCTGGCCTGTAAGGGTTCCACTGAGAAGTCTGCAGCCAGAAATATTAAAACTCTTTTATACACACACACACACACACACACACACACTTTTATATATATATATATATATTTTTTTTTTTTCTTCCATTAGGACCCTTTCTTTATTCATGACTTTTGGGAGCTTGATTATTAAATGCCTTAAGGTAGTCATGTTTGGGTTAAATCTGCCTAGTGTTCTATGACCTTCTTGTATATGAATGTTGATATCTTTCTCCAGGTTTGGAAACCCTCTGTTATTATTTCTTTGAATAAACATTCTACCCCAGCCTCTCTCTTTCTCTCTCTCTCTCTCTCCCCCTTCTCTTTAAAGCCAACAACTCTTAGATTTGCCCTTTTGAAGCTATTTTCTAGATCTTGTAGGTATTCTTTATTCTTTTTTTATTTTTTCTTTTCTGACTGTGTATTTCCATATGGCCTTTCTTCAAGCTCACTAATTCTTTTTTCTGCTTGATCAATTCTGCTTTTGAGAGACTCTGATGCACTTTTCAGTTTGTCAATTGAATTTTTCAGCTCAAGAATTTTTGCTTGATTTTTTAAATTATTTCAATCTCTTTGTTAGATTTAACTGATAGGCTTCTGAATAACTTCTCTTTGATGTCTTGAAGTTCATTGGGCTTCTTCAGAACAGCTATTTTGAATTCTCTTTCTGAAAAGTCACATGTCTGCATCATTCTGTGATTGGTCACTGTTACTTTATTTAGTTCATTTGGTGAGGTCATGTTTTCCTGGATGTTCATCAATGTCTGGACATTGAAAAGTTAGGTATTTATTCCCATCTTTGCAATCTGGGCTTGATAGGTGAGTACTTATTTCTGCCATTTTGTTAATTGTTTTCTGGTTCTTTTGCATATCCTTTGTTTCTTTCTCTTTTATTGTTTATCTTCGATGTTTGGTGGTTTTCTGTATGCTAAGGTTTGATTCCTTTAACTTTCTTATTTGTATATCTGTTCTACTAGTGAATTTTATACTTTCATGTATTTCCATGTTGGTAGACATCATCCTTTTGCTTTCAGAGGTTGGACTCCCTTAATCATTTCTTTTGGGTCTGGTCTAATGCTGTAATGCTGATGAATTTCCATCATTTTGCTTGTCTCTGGAAAGATTTTATTTGTACTTTACTTCTGAGGGCTAGCTTTTCTGGAAATAGTATTCTTGTCTAGTAGTTTTTTTCTTTCAGTACTTTGAATATATTATCCCATTCTCTCTTGGCCTGTAAGTTTTCTGCCAAGAAATCTACTGTTAGTCTAATAGGGGTTCCTTTATATGTGAGTTGATGTTTTTCTCATGCTATTTGTAGAATTCTATTTTTGCCTTTGACTTTTTATAGTTTAAGTGCAATGTGCCTCAGAGAGTACATTTTGTGGTTGAATATATTTGGGCTTTCTGTATTTGGATGTTCATATCTCTCCCACAGCTTGAGAAGTTTTCACCTATTATTTCATTAAATAGATTTTCTATGTGTTTTCCTATCTCTTCCCTTTCTGCAAGTCCCACACTGTGAATATTTTATCACTTAATGGTATCTCACATACCACATAGGCTTTCTTCATTCTTTTTTATTTTTATTTTTATTTTTTTGTCTGACTGGGTTATTTGGAAAGATCTGTCTTTAAATTGAGAATTCTTTTGTCTACGTGATCTAGCCTATTGTTTGGTTGCATGATTTTTGTTTGCAATTTTCAAAGGATTTTTGTTTGGTTCATATCTGTTGAAGTTCTCATTTAGATCATAGATTTTTTTTTTCCAGATTTTTTTTAATCCCCCATTTGTGTTTTCTTGAATCTTGACTTTCCTTGAGCTTATTGTTTTGAATTTCTTTTCAGACATTTTGTGGCTTTCCTTTTCTTTGGGATTTTTTAGTAGAGAAATATTGTGTTCCTTTGGAGTTGTCATGTTTCTTTGCTTTTTCATGTTTCTTGTCTCTGATGAAACAGTTCCTTCTTCCAATTTTACAAAGTAGATTTCATAGGGAAAGACTTTTTCCTGTAGATGTGCCCTATAGTTTTGGTTCAGTAGAGTGCTTGGGCTTTGGTTCTGGGTGGGCACAGTAGTGTAGTCTCTTTAAAATTTCTTCAGCTGTAATCAAAATAAGTGGTGTCTACAGATGCCTCAGTGGCCTAGGCTGCAGTTGTTGGTGGAGGCTGCAGCTCAGCTTCTGCTGGGAATGAGGATACTAGCCAGGTCACTCCTTAAGCTTCTAGGTGGCACATGCAAATAGCTCAGATTTATTTCATCCTCCCATTCCTTAGGATCTTCTTCCTCTTAGGAATATTCCCCCCTCATTACACCATACTCTTCTCAGGGCCCAGTCCTCAAGGTCCCAAATGTGTTCCATTATGTGCAGGTAGCCTCCCCAAATGACCACAGCCCTGGGAAGAGCCCTCAGAAGCCCCGTAGCATTTACTTTCTCACCAGTAACCTGAACTATACTTTTCACCTGTCACTTTTAATCTTATACAATTGGCAGCTCTCCTTGAAGGAAAGGATCATGTCTGATGCATCTTTGTCCAAATGCCAGTCCTTCAGTACTTCAAATGATAAGTTGCCCCATAAACATGAGGGTCATGGTCAAACCAGAACTTTCTGTTCTGGCAGGGAGGGAAGTCAACGATGACCTAACTCTGAGCTAACACTCCCAGATTTGCATTTAGAAAACCTCTCTAAAGGTAACATTTCCTTCAAGATTTCAAAGAACTTGGGAGACACATGGAATTTTTTCAAGGTCATTCTTTGTTCATAAAGCTGTTAGAATTATCTGCTTAGGCAGTATTATTGGGAAAAACTTTTTAAGTATATTTTTTTTAAATGTGGTATGCTCCATCTAGTCTTTTACCCAAAGAATTATTACATGATATTTCAAAGATTAAGGGGAAGAAAAATCCTCTATAAAAGTATCTTATAGCATTGGTTTTCCCACAACCTTTTGGGAACAGCTAGTATGATCTTTAAACTTCCCCCAAATCCATTTGGATGGCTATTATTAAAAATAACAACAACAATAAATAGAAAGTAATAAGTGTTGAGTGAAAAATTAGAACCCTTCTACTTGGGAGGCTGAGGCAGGAGGATAGCTCCAGCCCAGGAGTTTGAGGTTGCAGTGAGCTATGATGATGCCACTGCACTCTAGCCAGGGTGACAGGGCAAGACTCTGCCACAAAAAAAAAAGAAAAAAAATTGGAAGCCACTGCTGGTAGGAAATAGGAATATTAACGGTGCAGCTGCTATGGAAAACACAGTGCTGGTTCCTAAAAAAAAATTAAACATAGAGTTACTATATAATATAGCAATTTCACTTCTGGGTATATAGCCCCCCACAAAAAAAAGTGAAAGCATAGACTTGGAAATATGTTTATAGCAGCATTATTCACAATAGCCAAAGGTGGGAGAAACCCAAGTGCCCATCAATGAGTGAATGGATAAACAAAATGTTGTATATACACACAATAGTATACTAGTCAACCTTAAAAAGGATAGGAAATTCTGAGGCATGTCACAACATGGATTAATTTTGAGGACATTATGCTAAGTGAAATAAGCCAAACACAAAACAACTACTGTATGATTCCATTTATATGACGGGAGTATTTAAATTAATAGAGACAGAAAGTAGAAAGTAGAATTGTTGTTGCCAGGAGCTGGACAGAATGGGCAATGAGGAATTATTGTTTAATGGTTACAGAGTTTCAGTTTGGGAATTTGAAAAATTTGTAGTGATGGATGGTGGTGATGGAAGATGAAAAAGTTCTGGAGATGAAAGGTGGTGATGGTTTATTTAATGTCACTAAACTGTACACTTAAAATGATTAAAATGGTAAATTTGTTATGTATAATTTGCCACAAAAAGAGAAAACAAAATAAAGAGAAGGTGATAAACTTTTAAAAATTCAATTAAATCATATAGAAAGCAACTTGTTTTTTTCACTGAATCTTTTTAGAAATGAAATAGAAGATGAGAGGAATTTCCTTCCTTCCCAGTCAGAGAAAACATGAATCTGTAACCTCTCTCCTTGCTGTGGGAAACTCTCTTCTCCAAAATCCTCTTTCCTCCAGGGGTTGGTTGGGTCTAGTGTGGGTATATCACCTTTTGCCTTGGAACCTGAGGATTAAATGCATCTTTTAAACTTTGTGTCCCTCTTATTCTGAATGGAACAAACAACATGTTAATTTACTAATTTAATAAGCATTGCTCTTGCATAATTCAGTCATGACCAATCATGACCTATACTTGTACTCTTTATGCTGATCAATCACAAATTTTTCCTATTGAGAACAGATGTAGATTCAGAATCCTTTTTTTTTTTTTTTTTTTTTAAAAAAAAAGGCTTTCATTGATCTATTCAACAAATAATTATTGAGAGATGGTTGCACTTATTCTGATGGCCAAACACAGGTCCCCCATATCGGCTCCATACTCATGGGGTCTCCAGGTCATCCTCGGTCAGGGGCTGGCTCCGGACACGCTCCAGCATCTTGAGGCCCCAGGCGTGACGATAGGAGTCCTGGCTTATCACACGGAACATCATGTGCAACAGCCACTGTGTTGCGCTGAATGGTCCAACTAGAATGACACGAGTCTGGCCTGTGGCTGTAAACCAACTCTCCGGCTGAATGAGGGTATAGCTGTGCACCTCGATGCAGCGAAGGTATGTATCACTCTGCCCAAAGATAAGCTCCTCCTGGTCCTCTTCCAAGTAAAATACCATTGGAGCACGAAAGTTTTCGGGCACGGTCCACCATGGCTTCTTGCTGGGAGCACTGGTTTCTATGTCCACACACTCTGCTGCTACCTGATTCAGAAATGGGGCAAGTGCAAGCAACTGGTTGAAAAAGCACTTGGAAAAAGTCCAGAATCCTTCTCGACATATCTCTGTAACTATAGAACTACAAGTAAATGGGGGTTAGCATGAACCAAAATGTAATTTGCCATCACTAGGTTTGGAGGGCATGTTTGGGGGCTTGCAGGCAGCTGGTATTACGTTCAAACCCAAAGTTGGCTTTGACATAAGGAGATGTGTCCAACTGGAAAAGGAGGGGTGAGTGCTGACTACTGTGTTCTATAAGTAAATGGTGATGTGTGGTCTGCAGTCTCACAAGAATCCAAAACCAGGATTAACCACGAGCCAGATCTTTACATAAGTCTTAAGTGCCAGGCAAGGCAAGCACCAGTGAATAAATGAAGACGTACATAAAAATCAACATTAATTTCTTTTTCCTCCTGCAATTTGTATAAGATTATATTATATAGTGCTTGAGGAAGAAAACTCAAACCTCAAAATCCCTTCTGTGTGTTGGTGTGAGCCTTCTTTGGTAACATTTTCTTATATTAGAAGAACCAAGAAGGCAGAAGTCTCCTTATGGATCTTCCATCTTCAGTGCTACTGAATCCTTTTTCTTTCAATCTTATTCTGAAAGCCACAGCCCCTCACCCCTTCTCTGCACCTTTCCTAAATCTGAGCCTTCTAGAAAGAAGCTCTCCTACTTGTCATTTGCTCATCTTTGCCTTTGGTTCTTCCCACAGTTTTCCAAGTTTCTAATCCCTTCTGCAGAAGCCTTTCATGGGAACAGGCCTGTCTCTACCTTGGCTTGGATGGGCTCCTAGTAAACTCACACACCCCACTTCCTGACCCTTCAGTTTATCAGGCTTGGAACAGGGGAATCAGTTTTAAAAAGATAATTCAAGGTCTCCCTTCGCCTCCCCCTGCTAAGCGCTTTAAATATATGATCCTATTCATTATCTTAATAATTCTGGAGATAGACATTATTATGCCCATTTTGAAAATAAAGAAGATGAACCTCAAAGAAGTTAAGTATCTCCCCCAAAGACACACAGCAAGCAGTGGCAGAGCTTTGTTGGCCTCTGAAGCCCGTACCTTTAACAAGACTGCTTCTTAATCCTTCATCAGGATTCTTGCCTGGATTCCCTCTGTGCTTTGCCCTGATTGGCTCCTGTGGTCCTTCAAGTCTCTGATTTAAAGAAATAAAAGTATAATAATGGAGTTTCTGGTAGTGGAGCAGATATCTGAGGCCACACAACACTTACCTAATTAGAAGACCTGCTCCTAGAAGATACATGGACTCAGGCTTTCTTAGCTAAGACAGTACATGCTAAAAAGTCCTGCAGGAGGAATTAAGGAACTCCAGCTGTGGGGAAAATGCAAGGAACTCAGAATAGCTAAAAACAATCTTGAAAAATAAGAACAAAGTTGGAAGATTTACACTTCCTGATTTCAAAACTTAACACAAAGCTACAGCATCAAGAGAATATGGTTCTGGCAAAAGGATAGACACAGAGATCAACTGAATAGACTTGAGAGTCCAGAAATAAACTCATATATCTATAGTCAATTGATTTTTGAAAAGATACCAAAACTATTCAATGTGGGAAATAGCAATCTTTTCAACAAATGGTGCTAGGACAAATGAATATCCACATGTAAAAGAATGAAGTTAAACCCCCTACTTTATACCATATACAGAAATTAACACAAGATCTAAATGTAGGCTAAAACTATAAAACTCTTAGAAGAAAACATAAGACACTATCAAGAAAGATAAAAAACTCAAAGAATGGAAGAAAATATTGGCAAATCAAACTATGTGATAAGGGTCTGATATCTTTATTAGGATATATAAAGAATTCTTACAACTTAACAATAAACAACCCAATTTAAAAATGGGCAAAGGATTTGAATAGACATTTCTTCAAAGAAGATGTACAAATGGACAGTAAGCACTTGAAAAATACTCACTATCATTAGTCACGAGGTAAATGTACATCAAAACCACAATGAGATACCACTTCACACCCCTTAGAATGGCTATAATTTTAAAAAACAAAAAGAAAAATATAGGAAATAAGTCTTGACAAGCATGTGGAAAAATTGGAACTATCATACATTGTCGGTGGGACTGTCTAATGATGCAACCACTTTGGAAAACAGTCTGGTTAATCATGGAGTTACCATAGAACCCAAACATTTCACTCTTGGGTATATATGCAAAAGAACTAAAAACAGGTGTTCAAGCAAAAACTTGTACACAAATGTTTATAGCAGCATTATTTATAATATGAAAAAGGTAGAAACCGCCCAAGTGTGCATCAATTGATGAATAGGTAAGTATATTATATATCTATACAATGGACTATTAGTTAGCCACTAAGAGGAATGAAGTACAGATACATGCTACAACACTGAAAAACTTTGAAAACATTATACTAGGTAAAAAAAAAAAAAAAAAAAAAAAAAAAAAGCCTAGCACAAAAAACCACATATTGGAAGACTTCATTTATATGAAATGTGCCCAATAGGCAAGTCTACACAAAAACTAGGTTAATGATTGCCAGAAGTTGGGGATAGGGAAAAATGGGAGTGACTGTTAATGGGTATGGGTTTTCTTTTGGTGTGATGAAAAAATTCTGGAATTATATAGTGGTTGCTATGGTTTCAATTCACCCCCCACCAAAGTTCAAGTGTTTGAAACTTAAACCCTAATGTAACAGTATTAAGACATGAGACCTTTCAGAGGTGATTAGGTCATGAGGGCTGTATCCTTTATATCCTTTATGAATGGATCTCAGGAGTGTGGTTAGTTATGGAAGAGGGTTGAGTTTGGGCTGATTCCCACCCTGTCTCATATACTATCACCTTCTCTCACCATGTGATGCCTTCTACCATGTTATGATGTGGGAAAAATGCCCTCTTACCAGATGCAGTTGCTTGGACTTCCCAGCCTCCAGAACCATGAGCCAAATAAACTTCTATTCTTTATACATTACTCAGTCTGTGGTATTCTGTTATAGCAGCAGAAAATGGTCTAAGACAGTGGTAATGGTTACACAACCCTGTGAATATACTAAAGACCATTGAATTGTAGGTTTTTAAATGCTGAGTTTTGTAGTATGTGAATTATACCAGAATAGAAAAGGCCAGTTGTAAAAATAATTTCTATTCAATATTTTTTAAAAAACCTTAAAAAGTAAAAAAAAAAATTATCTAATATCTTTTTAAATTTATGCCTTCATGGACAAGGAAAGGGGATTGTGTTCTTATTTCCACCAGAGGATGAGAAGACCAATATTAAGATCACACCCAGTGACTAAACCAGCAATGGCAATGAGTGCTAGGAAGTTTAAGAAACATTGTTTCCAAGGAACTTGATTGTCTTAGAGTTCTCCCAGAAACAGACCCAAGACAAGCATTTAAGTGTAAATAGAGTCTATTTGGGAGGTGAAGGAAATTCCAGCAAGGGAGCAGGAAAGTGAGTCAGGGAAGGGAAGGCAGCCAATAAAATATGCATTACAAGCAAGTCATCACTGAGGGAAATTGGAGCTTGATCCTATTGAGGAACTCTGGGAGTCATGTAAAAACGCACTTCAGAGTTACCCTCACTCCCAGGGGCAAGAAATTGGGATATTTATACCACAATCCTTGTCTCATTAGTTGAGGGTTCACTCCTCCAGCAGCATGAGAAAGTTCTCAAGCGAAGAGAAGCAAGTGCTGGTAGTTGGAACTGGGCAGCTTACACTGAAATGGAAAAGCCCAGAAAGATCCAGGTAGGGCCCTGGCAGTTTATGTCTACTATTTAAAACTCCCTAAGGAGGGTTATAGATCATGGATTCAGAAATAAAAAGATGGGGATTAGAATTTTAGCTTCACCACTTTGGACAAACCATTCAACTATATAAAATTCATTTTTTTAATATGTAAAATGTGGGATGGAGGGAGTGAAAATGTATACTCACAGGATTGTTGTTAGGATGAAGTAAGATGATATATATGAACACTCCTGCTATATGCAACGTAATTATTACGTCTGTGGATTTTTTTTAAGATGTGGATGACAATAAAACACTGAATAAAGATGAAACTTACGGAGTTGGAATGGGATCATGCTGATCTTATTTATTCACTTAACTCTTGAACAATAAGCGTCAGTGTTCAGAATGATAACCTAGGAGCTCTGCCAGCTTTTATTTCTTTAAAGAAGGTTCTATTCTGTTGATCCACGTAGGAAGTCAATGTACAGACTACTGTGGTAGAACCTGCTAAACGTTTACCAAAAGTTGTTTCCTCTTTTTCTTGGGCTCACAGACAGATTACTTCTCCAAGCCTTGCTTGCTTGCACTGAGGGGAGTCCTAGCCAATGGAATGGAATGTGTTCCATTCCCTGCCTCAATCAACCCTCCCATAAGCCCTTTACTGTGCTCTTTCCCCACTTGTAATTGGCAGGAATGGAGAAAATTACCAGGTGACTTTGGAAGCCACGTGTTGAAGATGCCAGAGCCTGTGTCAGGAAGGACGCCTCACCAATCTGATCACCCTGCCAGGACTGAAACATAAGTAAGAATGCTTGACATGTCTATGAGATTCAAGCCACTGTACGTTTTTGGGTTTATTTGTTGTAGCAGCTATGATTACCCGGACAATTAAACCCCATATATATCAGAAAGATTTATATCAAGGAGGTTTTTGATTAACTCTGGATTAATACATTTTCATTAAGTGGAGCTGACTTTTTCAAACATTCTGATTAACTGTGGCTGTGCTTTTGAGGGAACTATGACTTTTCAAGGCTGTGTGGTGTGTACTCGGTATATTGTGAAATCAGCTCCAAACTTTCTCAAGCAGTCCTCCAATTGGAAAAGCCATCATATCCCTTGGCTATCCCTAAAAAGAGAGAGCAGGAAATCATGTCCCCACCACAGCAAGCACTTCCTACCTGGGAACATGCATCTCTAGGTGTCTCTTATGGTAGCAAGTGGCAGGTATCAGACATGTTTTATATG